CTCCAGTCTGGGCGACAGAGTGAGACTCCAACGCAAAAAAAAAAAGAAAGTTAATAGTAACTATAAAGCACTTAGTGCCAGGCCCACAAGTACTATCAGCCATTATGATTACTATTGGTGTTATTCCTCCCCTCCTGTGATGCTAAACCCCACCTCCTTACTAATAAAACCCTCTCTCTCTGTGTATATGTAAATGCACGTGCATATGTATACGTATATGTATTAGCAGCGATTTTATTTTTGAGTCAGAGTCTCACTCTGTCACTCAGGCTGGAGTGCAATGGCACAACCACAGCTCACCACAGCCTCAGCCTCCTGGGCTCAAGTGATCCTCCCACTTTGGTCTCCCAAAGTGCTGGGATTACAGATGTGAGCCTCCACTCCCAGCCTTATAGTGGCAATTTGTACATGAAGTCCCTGGGCTTTCATGCAAGGGAGATTCTGCCCTTGGACATCAGAAGGTTCCCTCTTTCCTCTGCGTGGGATGTGTGAGGAAGGCAGAAGTAGGGGGATAACCCAAGAGACCTCTCAGTGACACAGCCTACCCACAAAGGGGCCAGAGCGCCCCCACTGGGAAGGAGAGGCGGTGCCCTCAGCCCATAGTCCCGGTTCTCCTCCACCATTCTCGCTGTCCTTGTGTGTGGCAGAACGTGGGCAAGTAGGGCTGTGGAGTCTGGAAAAGGACTTCCTCCTGCACATCCTCAAGTCTCCCTGCCCGTTGCAGGAGGAGCCATCTATAACGACAGATGCCCCATTTACCTCCCAAGCCCTCTAGAAGCTAAGCAGTGCAGAGCAGCACAGGCAGGCCGGTTAGCTCAGCACTGCCTTAGGCAACGCTCTGAGACTACATCTGGAAAATGCACCTGAAGCTGACATCTGCCCCCTAAGGGCTGTGTGAATACACAGAGCTTAGAACAAGGACTGGCACATAATGAGCATTCAGGAAATATGTGTTATTCTAGTGATTGCTAGTTCTAGCAAAGCTAAAACCCAGGAAATGCAGATTTCGGGCAGATAATAATGACAGCAAACCCTTACAGAGTATTGACTAGGCACTGGGCAAAACATTGTATGTGTATTAATTCATTTGCTCTTCATACTGACCTCATTATTACCACCCTCTCCTGCAGTTAAGGAAACTGAGGTACTGAGAAGGTAAATAACTTACTAGCAGGTCAAACAGCTAACAGGCAACAGGTCCTACCTATATTTGAACCCAGTCAAACATGTGTGTTTCAGGAGGCACTGGGGGGTCACCCACCCCAATATGCCCCAGTACCTGTGGCTTTGGACAAGATATACCTCTGGGCAGCTCTGGCCTTTGTTTTTCAGGTTCTTGTCCCTTGTTCTGTGTCCAGGACATGATCCGGACTCAAGCTGGGTGCTGGTGGTATGAGCCAGCTGGCCAGCTTCCCGAGGGACTCTCACTTTGTGGTCCTACGATTGCAAAAACACTTGCAGAAATCACTTTTCCTGGGACTGCCAAAGAGAGTCGAGCTGCCAGATCTGTGTTTTGACATCATCTAGCTTCCTTTGTCAAGGGGAGGACAAGGGACTATGAGGCACCCTGGGCAGCTTGTGGGGGTGGGGAGAAGGGAAGCAGGGTGGGTGTGTAAGGACTGAAGGATGGAGAGAGGTGACTGATGGCTTCTGTGAAGGTGGCCAGAACCAGCAGGAATGCAGAATACTTTCCCTCCTTCCTTTGTGATGAGCAAAGCGAAGCCAAGGCTGGCCTCCAGGAAGAGATTTAAAGACATCTAAACATCTAAGGCATCTAAGCTGGCTAAGGGGACTCTCTTTCACAGAATAGACTCATTTTGTAATAGAATCAGACTGGGGCACATCCAGGGAAATTCAACAGGCACTGAAAATATTGTTGAGACAGCCAGGCCTGTGTAGCATCCAGACAGCCCTGTCCTTTCTAGACAGCCCCCTCCTCAGGGCTCATGGACCTGTCTGGCCGCTGAGCTCTCAGGAGGTCCAAGGGGTGTGACCTTCCTCCCTTCCTCCCTTCCTCCCTCCCTCCCTCCTCCACCCCAGGCCAGCCCAGGGCTGGCTATAAAGCTGGCCCAGCCCTGGCTCTCAGCACACCCAGCTGGGCCTGAGACCCTCCTGGAACCTCCTCAAGGGACACACTCACTCTGCCCCTCGCGTCTCCTGAGCAGCTCCATGTGGCCCCTATGGCTCTGCTGGGCACTGTGGGTGCTGCCCCTGATGGCCCCTGGGGCGGCCCTGAGTGAAGAGCAGCTCCGGGACAGCCTGCTGCAGCAGCTGCACCTGAGTGAGCCGCCTGTGCTGGACCAGGCCGCAGCGGAGGAGCCGGCCATCCCTGCCCACGTGAGGGCCCGGTATGTGGCCCTGCTGCAGCAAAGTCACGGGGACCATTCCCGGGGGAAGAGGTTCAGCCAGAGCTTCCGAGGTAAAAGCCCTCCCTCCCACCCTGCTGCACTCGGACCAGGGAGAGAAAGACTCTGGGTTATGCCCACTCTGGTGGTGTCAAAGGGCCCTGACTTGGTGGAGCTCTGTGTGAGGCTGTGAGGAGTTCATGGTCTGAGGGTCAGTGAGGAGGGGCCATGGCCTGTGAGGATGACTGGGCCTAGGTCCCTGGTTTCTGACTGTGAAAAGCCAAGGATAGGAGAAGGGGGCGGTAGAGGAGAAAAAGCAGGGCTCAAGGGAGCAGGTGGAGGGGTCTGAGAGCCTTGGTGCAGCTGAACTTCCCGGGGTCTGTCTGCACACTCCACTCAGGTCTGAGCCTGACCTTGAGCAATGGCTTTAAAATCTTCTCTCAGCCGGGCTCGGTGGCTCATCCTGTAATCCCGCGCCTTTGGGAGGCTGAGGTGAGTGGATTGCCTGAGCCCACGGGTTCGAGACCCGCCTGGGCAGGCGAGACCTCATCTCTACAATCAATCAAAAAATCAGCCAGGCATGGTAGAACGTGCCTGTAGTTCCGGCCACTTGGAAGGCTGAGGCGGAGGGATAGCCGGAGCCCAGCAGGTCAAGGCTGCGGTGGCTGGGAGCGGCCACTGCACTCCAGTCTGGGCGACTGAGACTCCAAAAAAAAAAAAAAGAAATGCATTTGGGTATCTGAAAAATACTTAATTCCTGAGTTATACTTCACTGTCAGGGATGCAACTGGGCCTGACTCCTATTGCAGCCTCTTGCTTCCCTGGGGTGGGGAGTCACCTCGTCAGCACCCAGAGGTAGATGCAAGGCCAGGCACCCTGGGTGAGGACTGTGACCCTCAACATCTCAGCTGAGGTAACTGTTAGCACAGGGTTCCAGAGCTGTCCCTTCTGCTGGGTGGAGATTGTTGTTAAACAAGGGCCAGGCCCAAGGGAAACTTTTAGGTACTGGTTTCACCCAAGAGAGACAGAAGAGGGGCTGAGCCAGCCTGGATGCTGGCCTAGTGGCCCTGCCACCCTTGGAGCTCCCCTGGTGTCAGTGGGGCCCGG